AGTCGTCGCCCGGTCTGCCCTGTATAGTGGCAAGAACAGTCGCGACATGGCAACTGATAAACGACGCCAGACAGTTCGCATACATCCAGTGGGTCTTTTATTTGTATGACTCGTAAACGCATGGTAGCTGTCGGACGATGAGCAATACCCACGCCGAGCTCTGCAGCGATCCGCTCAGTTGCTTCTGACACATTTGTAATGTACAATAGAGGGTGCCAGAGCGTTGGTGGTTCACTTTGGTTTGTTCCTCGTGAGCCTGTACGGTTACAGCGGCTAAAGAAGTTGTTCGGTTATCCATTCCTAGCCAGCTGGTCCCGAAGATGTCGTAATTCTTACACTCGCCCCTGCGGTTCACTGCAGGGTGTCTTAACCGTCTGAAAGAGTGCTCTAGTACAGCCACGTTTATGCGCTATGGGTTGCGTTAGTCGCCTTTCTAAAAACCGTGGTGCTGAGTTCCCCGTTGGGTCTACGCGTGACGAGGACATCCAGGAACGTTAGTTGCCCGGCACTCTCTTTTTCCTTTGTGAATTGGATGTCAGGGAAGATGCCGTCAAGCAGGTTTTGGAAGTCTAATAGCCTGCTCCGTTCGCCAATGCAAACGAAAATGCGAGTCCCATGAAGTGATTGAGAAGGAGCCGATATGGTGGCTGGGGCAAGAATTTTATTCACCTCACGTTTTAGTTTTGCTCACAGATCCATCATCAGACAAGCTGCTGGTGTCTCTGAGGAAGAATCTGCGACGGATCTCGAAACGTCAGGCGAATAAAAGTATTGTCCCAGCGATGTCATCTTTTTCTTCTCAGTTACTTCCTGGGACTCGCATGTTCGCTTGTATTAGAAATTGGTTACAGGAGTTACAGTACTTATAAGGTACAGTCGCTGGGCTACTGCGTACGTATGATGTGAGTGGCCGAGCACACAGAAAGACGCTAACTCCCAGCTTGCAACTCATTCGATGGGATTCGGCCATATTTTCAAGTTGAACGAGGCCGAAGTCCTCGCAAGAGGTGACAACCACGTGGGCCGCGAGCTGCTCGAGTCGTGGTTCTCAGGCTCACGGCCAATTAACAAGCGCAATAAATTGCCGTTCCAATGTTCCGTATTAAGACACTGTCTGAGCAGAAGAATCGGCCACGTGGGAATGGTCGGGCCCAGTAACAACTCGGACAACATGGACAACGAAATCGCGGAAAGTAATGGATAGAAATGAACCTGGGCTTCTGAGCAATCTTAGGGCTGACAATGGGAATCCCAGGGAGTAATTGAGAAAGAGCTGATTTAATCGCTGGGACAAGAATTTTATTCACCTCATTTTTTGGTTTTTGTCACGGACCCAGCCTCAGAGACAATAGCAGAAACAGATAATTCATACAGAGGGGGTACAGTACTTAAAGGGTATAGTCGCTGGGTTACTGCATAGCTATGACAATTAACGGCGCCCCCTACCGAAGATAGTTGCCCGTTCGGGCGCTAATGGCTGGGGTGCGGGCCGTGACCTGCTGAACTTGCATTACGCGTGATGGACTTCGGCGTGATAACTGCTCAGCCATTCGGCGCCCTGGTGCTAGTGTTAGACGATGCCTTCACGCGTGCATTCCCCGAGTGGCGAGTTTCTTTGGCCAAACTAAGCCCCAGCACCGGATAGGGGACTGGACAGTTCGTTACAGTGGACTGGAGACTCGGGAGCAATGGCTCAAGTAAATCGCGACTCATATGACTGTCACCTCCCGCGGGAATTTCGGCTTTATCGAATTTTAATGTTTGGTAAGGTCTCGTCGAATGAAATGCACCTGATAATTGGCGTAATTTCTCTACATTGCTGCTGAGTGTTCTGCGATTCGCGTCTGAAGAATTCTTCCAATTTCTCTGACGTATTTGGCTGACCCGCAACTACGTTGCAGCATGGCGACTGTATCACATAATTACTGCAATTCCTTGTGTATGAGTTATCTGCCCACGAGTGCGAGCACAATTTAAACAGCTACCAGCAAACGATCGGTATAATCGATCTACGTGCGAGCATCAGGCACAGTTATAACACACGTCTAGCGGTCAGACACACTCGACGCCAGCAGGAGAATAGACACTACGCTCTGACAATTAAAACGAGAATGGTTTCGACACGTCAGCTTGAATACAACTTGGTCTCAGAAATTTCCCCTTCTTCCTCTTCCGGGGAGGATGAAAGCAAGATTATATCTGGACCTCGAATAGTTTCGCATATTAGTTCCTGCTATTGTCTCTGACGCTAGATCCCAGACGGATATCGAAACATCAGGCAAATAAAAGTCTTGTCCCAGCCACCACAACTGCTTATTCTCAATCTAAGGTCTGGGGGTATGATGAGGTAAATGCCGGCATAGAATGCAGTCTTCTGGTCGATTTGCAAACGAAGTCCTCGACTATGCCCCTAGGCAGTCAGAGTTACTTGAAATATTTGACAGAAATTGAGAACGTAGTTGAAAATGCCTGTTAGGGGGTCCGAGCTCCAAGTGTGATTATAAAATCAAACCAAAATTTAATAGTGATACGTGGG